ATAAGCACGAGTAAATATTTTTAAAGACTAACAAAATTGCACGCGCCGGTAGGGCGCGTGCAATTTGTTGTCTTTGAAAAAATTAACAAGTGCTTGTTTATTCCAAATTGCGCGATAAAAATCATGTGATTACGTGTTAATAATATACATGAAAAAATACGAGATGGCTTATCATAATTAAGCATAAGCAAAGCGCGCGCATCAAGTGCAAAAATAATTTATTCAAACAGTAATATGCAATGATATCTTCACATCTTTAAGGCGCAAAAAAGTTCAAAGTCCGGCTAAACAGTTCAAGAAAGTGTTCAGTCTGTGCCGACAACCAAAAAGCATTGCTTTTTACAGTGTTTTCGTTGTTTGAGCTGTTTTTCAGCCGCGGTGGCGAAAGAAAACCTACTTAAAACGCTGGCCATTGTTTCGCTCGCAAATTTTCAAGTTTTGTTGCGACATCCAAGGCACGCATTTGATTGGCTATCTGTGAATTTCTTTGATTATTGACCAATCAGAATGTCTGATTTGTCACTTTCTTTTCACTGAATTAACCCTCTTCTGCACTGAATTAATTCTCTTCTGCACTGAATTACCTGAAAACTGCATTTATCATAACCAATCATGTATATTATTAGTGCTGAAAGCAAATAGTTGAAATTTTGGAAAAACTGACAGAAATAATTGATTAATACGATGGAGGTGCACTTTAGATGAAAAAGATCTATTTCAAAATAAGGAATATTATGGTTTTTTTCATATTCCTTTAATCTTAAATAGATATTGACGAATGCATCTTAGGCAAGGAGAAGTGTTCCTCTGATGGCAGTTGTGTTAATGTTATGGGCTCATACGTCTTACTTTTCCGTCTTTTGTAACTCGTGTGTAGATACTGATGAGTGTACATCGAGGAAACACGATTGTTCCTTTGACGGGGACTGTGTTAATGTCGTGGGTTCCTATCAGTGCTCTTGCAAGCCTGGATTTACTGGCGATGGTAAAATTTGCCAAGGTAACATTTATTTTATATAAAAGTGCAAAGCTATTGATTACCCTCTTCACCAGTCTTGCAAGACAGAGATAACTGATGTGATTCGCAGGGTCAGTTGAAATTACTGCTAAAACAGGTCAGTCTTTACATGCTAATGTAACGGAGAAAGCTGCCTCCACATCATAGTTAGCAAAATTGCTTTTTTAAGCATATCTAAAATATACAGAACGATGCCGAACTTCTGGCAAACCTGTGAATTCACCACCTCAGCACGTTACACTTTTCAGTAGATTCTGGGAAACGCTAAAAAAAACAACCCCACCTCTTCTGATAATTTCCCTACACCTTGATTAGTCTTATATTCAATTACTACTTAGATATCGATGAGTGTAGCGATGGAAGCCATGACTGTCACTTTGCGGCCGATTGTACAAACACCGCTGGATCATTCGACTGCAACTGTCAGTCTGGACACCTTGGAGATGGACGGCACTTTTGCTCAGGTATATCTTGATCTTTAACCCAAAACACAAACAAATGTGAGTGAATAGTGTGGTTTGAACATAACCACAGTTATTCTTTAATTACTTTCCTCAAATACATCAATTTATTTTGCGTTACCATTTCTAAGACACGAAAACCTAAGGCTTTCTGAAAACCTGACAAACTTTTTAACAGATAACTGGAAAAAGGTCAACATCGATCCTGTCTGTTTTGGGACAAAAGATGACGACCACGGAACTTTTCAAATCCAAGAAGCCGGTCAAATCTACACATTTAAACTTGTCCATACAAGCGGCTCCGTGACATGCGTATCCATTTTAGCAATACCAACAAAGTGGGGATGCTCATTGCCAAGTTACGGAAATCACAACCTAATGACGGTGATAACATACAGCAACAAAACAGTTCTTCCGCTTGCTGAGTTCTTGAAAGGCAACGACAACACATACTATACTTACCAACTCGACGGTGCCGATTTCAACTCCGCAACACTAGTGTTCAAGCTCCTCCCCACCCCACTGGTTGTATTGGTTGGTCAGCAGTTCCAATTATGGTATGCGCATGACTTGGTTAATTATACTGAGTATAATAACGATGGTAAGACATGCACAGACGTTTATGCTCTGTACCATTGACACGGTTAAAAGGTTGCGGCAACTACAGATGACTTCAGCCGTACGTCTGCACTTTGCTGAATCACAGCCGGCAAACAGTCGGAGAGTGGCTGTTATTTAGTTCATAAAAAGGCACGGTAGATGTGATATGGCATCAATCACCAGGTCCTTAATGAATGGTCCGTTCAGTTGGCACGATAAGTAAGCTGATTGGTTACCGGGACCCTATATTAACAAATTCAGCGAGCTTCGACATCGATATGGAAACGTAGTAGATTATTTCATGTAATAATTCAAGTATGTAATGACGAAAAGAAAAAACAGAAAAAAAAGCAATGTTAAGAGTCGAGATTTGCCATAATATTACCTAGAGTAGTTATGAATCGAAGTGCCTCCTTAGCTATTCACCAGCTCACATTTAACGCGCGCCTACTGCATTATTGTTAAATATTTCCCAACAATTACTTTCCCTGCGGCTGATGCTTATGAATTTGCTTTCTTTCAATGAAAATGAATTGAAAATAAACTTTAGCACGGAGCTCTTAAAAACTTCAATAAATGACAATCTCTTATATCAGCTTTTCTTTAAGATAGCTCAAATAACTGTCGAGTTTCATTTTATGCCGTGTTTCTGTTTTTCATTATCCTTAGAGTAGATTTGAGGCCAGAAATCGCACTTTGAATAGCTTGTATTTAATTTTATCTTCAGTAAATAAACGACTGAACTTACAGAAATTTTGATTGGCAGTAAGAGCTGATTGGGGTACCCCGTTGGTTTAAACAGTTAAGAAAAGTGTCCTACGGTAGTTGTTATATGCGTTTGTCGCGTCTTGAAGATACGTGACGGGATGGCGGTACGTTCGTGACAGAAACGATTATCAAACCGTTTACCCATCCTGCAAAAATTAGCCTTGAATAATTTCGGTAACCAAAGACACTGCTTTTTTCTGTAGGGCGGCTGGCACATAAAGTTTTAGCTTTAAAGTATTGTCGACGGGGTGTTCTTGTGATATATTGTCAATGCAATTGTTTCCTTTGACATTGTGGTATTTCATCTTTTTTTTCCTTTTTTACGAGGCAGGACATCAGCCTCTTTCATGACACCAAGGCCATATATATGAGTTAAGATGAGAAAAAAAATGATTACTCTTGAGGTAAACAAACGTCAGGTGCAAACTTGAGCCATGAAAGTGAATCACCAACCTAATCTACATTGAGAATTTTCTATGTAATTGACATCAAGTGGATTCACTTTAATTATATTCAATTTTACCCTCCTTCTTATTTGAATTTGGTCATTTAGAGGCAAAGGTGTTCAAGTTTGGGTTTATCACTTGAAATATTATAGCTTAAAAAAGTGTTGATGGTCTTTTCAATTTTCATTTCCACAAAATTAAATCTATCGCTGTTCAGCATGTTCTCTGTTTCAAGTATTTTCTTAAAATTAAAATAAATGTGCATGCTTTCTCGCACGTCTTTGTCGTGGAGCTTTTTGAAGCGGCCCAACCTTTTTTATTTTGATCCTTCAATAAAGTAATCTGCAGTTGAACGCGCTCGACAGATTTTCAACTTCATTTAACGCAAACATCAAATTGGTAACACCGAAAGACTTCTTGCGTCAGGCATTCTTCGGAAAACGGTTAATTAGTTTTTTACAAAGGCTAACATCACGCATTTAAGTTATTTTTTTTTCTGCTACAGTTTTTCTGTAATTCTTAAGACTCGATGTTTTGTTTTCAAATTAAGTTAAGCCATGTGATTATTTTAGTGACGTATTCGCAAATGTTAAAAAATAAAATCCTATAACTGCGAAGCGTGCTGGTCTCACATCTGCCGCTTATATTACTAATCATTTTCCTCTTTTATGATTCTGCAATTCGCTGTATTGTTTTGAGTGTTGAAATATTAAGTCTGGTTGCACTTACAAGAGAGACCAGCGTTTCATTTAGCTCGCTATAGCTAGCTGAAGGGTGTTCTCACTAACGACAATATGATACTGTTCTCATTAGCCGTTGGTGATCCTTCAATGAGTAAGGTCCTAACTTTTATATGGATTTTTCGTTTTGGTGTACTGGTGTATGGAGGTAAGTGACTCCTGCCAAAAGCTGGCATCGCTGACACTTTAATCTGTTATCACTGATATATTCGTGATCAGATTCATATCCTTGTGTTAATGGTACAAAAGGAAGAAGAAAGTAAGTGTGTGAAAAGAGAAAACTCATTAAGTTAAATTTAAATCTATTCCGAGTGATAATGTGAAATTTCGAATTCTCAAAGTAAAAATGGCAGAAATGGGATATTGCACGATAGCACGTTATTGCAAAACTGCCCTGTTTACAATGCCGTGATCTTAGTTGGGCGTAAAGGAAACGTGAACGTGGAGAGAAGATCTGTTGGTTAAATTATTGCGGATTCAAAAATGGGATATTGCACGATAGCACGTTATTGCAAAACTGCACACTTTTCGTCGAACGGCAAATCAAGAGTTAATTATGTAGTTTCCCTGGCATTTATGGAACAACTTTAAACTAATATTGCGATAAGACTTAGAATGTCGGCTGCCTTCAAGCTTATGCCCCGTTTAATGTCATTTTCTCATTGGCTTCTTCATTGGCTTCTTCATTTCTTGCCAAACCCTTAGATGATTGCCGAGTGATTCAGTTCAAAGCAGGAACGAAAAACAAGATCTTAACAAATCAAGTCATAAGAAGTGAACGAGCAAAGGACAAGGATATCTGCGAGTTCAAATGCTACTTTGAACCAAACTGTGTGTCCTATAACTATGGTCCGCTGGGAGATGGAGCATTCACATGCGAGCTAAGCAACAGAAATCATTTGCAGGTCTCTCCCAGTTACTTCGAATTTAGTTACTTCGACTTTTTATACAGAGAAATTATTGTAAGTAAATAACAATATCAATTTTACCAGGGTGATCGTTCCGCGAGCGAGAAACCTCTGTTTTAAGTTGAACCTCCTTGTTTATTTATTGACCACTTTATTATTTATCTCTCTAAATACTCAGTCTATTTATTTACTAATCTAGGCTTTATCTATCTAATTACTTGATTCATCTATCACATTTTAGAATTCCTGTGAGAGCAATCCGTGTGTTAGTAACTCTACATGTCAAGCGGGGTTTGGTAGTCATGGTTACCGCTGTATTTGTTCTGACGGATATGAAGGAGAGCTTTGCCAAATAGGTGAGAAAGGAAACTCCTCGCGATAGCAGGTCTTTATCACCCAGGTTCATAGTTAAAGTTACGCAATAAAGCTGCAAATAAAATAGCCTCTCGGCAAGGAAAGTTTTGAATCCTCATCTGTTTAATCAATACAGCCTTAATATCTGCATCAAAGGATGTCTCCATATCATAAGGCAAGGGGTAAGTTAGATTTGTTCAGTATGTGCTCTCTCAAATGCTAGAAGCTGTCAGATGGATTGAAACTCCAGGGTTGTGACAACTGGAGACGTAGTTATAAGATGTTCTTCTGCAGCAATAACCGAGAGGTGATATCAAAGTATTGCTGTCGTGATGTGATAAATCATAGATAATAGATCTTAAAGAAAAACGAGAAAGTAAGAGAATATCCGAATAGGAATGGGTGATATGAAGGGAAAACTGCCTCATGTTGTCAACTGTAGATATTTGATGCAAGGACAAGAACAGAAATGAAACAAATAAAAGTATAAGTTTCGTGCTGAAAGCCAATAGTTGAAATTGGGAAAAACTGACAGAAATAATTGATTAATACGATGAAGATGCACTTTAGATGAAAAAGATCTATTTCAAAATAAGGAATATTATGGTTTTTTT